CTCCCTTTTTTGAAAATGGGGACCACATTGGCCATTTTCCAGTCCTCTGGCACCACACCAGAGCACCACGAGCGCTCATAAAGCCATGCCAGGGGTCCCGCAATGACCTCTGCTAATTCCCTCAGTGCTCTGGGGTGGAGGTCATCGGGACCAGCTGATTTAAATACGTCCAGTCCCTCCAGAAGTTCCCTGACTAGATCCTCACTGACCCTAGGCCTGGGTGAGCCTCCTCTGGGCCCTGAGGGGGTTCCAGTGGATGAATTCATCTGGTCCCTGTTGAGGAAAATGGAGGCAAAGAAATCATTAAATAGGTTAGCCTTGTTGTCTGGTGCAACAACCAGATTTCCTAGCGTGTCTTGCAGAGGCCCCATGTTACCGGGTACCTTCTTTTTGCCCCCTATGTATTTAAAAAAGGACTTCTTGTTGTCCTTGATCTGGGTAGCTAGTCCCAGTTCCATCTGTATCTTTGCCTTCCTGACCACCCCCCCTGCAGCCCCGAGCAAACGAGGTATAGTCTTCTCTGGTGATGGCCCCTCCCTTTCATTGGGTGTACGCCTCCCTTTTAGCTAGGAGATGTTCCCGTATGCTTTTGGTGAGCCATAGGCGCTTTTGAGCCCTCTTGCCCCCTTTGACCCTTGTTGGGATTACCTCCCTTTGGGCATGGAGGATCGTCTCCTTAAGGAATGACCACTCCTCTTGGACACCCGACTCCCCTCCTCTCCGGGACCTCAGTACTTCCCCAACTGTCCTTCTTACCTCATTGAAATCTGCCCTCCTGAGGTCCAGGACTGCTGCCTTGCTGCTGGCTTTTGCCACCTTGCGCTGGATGGTGAATTCCAGCAGGCGATTATCGCTGTCGCCCAGGTGGTCAAGCACCCACATTCCCCCACGAGGTTGTCGCCTGTGGCCAGCACCAGATCCAACAAAGTGTCTCCCTTGATGGGGCCGTGCACCTCCTGAGTTAGATGGAGGTCCTGTATCTCAGCTAGGAACTTATGTGAGCGGTCAGACCTGGCTGACTGCTCTTCCCGGCAGATGTCTGGAAAGTTCAGGTCCCCCATGATGACCACGTCTTTTGACCTAACTACCTCCATGAGCTGACTTAAGAATTTCCAGTCTAGCTCTTCCCCTTGGTTGGGTGGCCTGTAGTAGACCCCCGCTGTTAAGTCCCTTTCCCCTTGACTTCCTTGTATTCTAACGCAGAGCACTTCAGTGTGCCCCTCATCTGACCTTGTGCTACTAGATGAGGATGTGTATTTCTCCTTGATGTAGAGCGCCACTCCCCCACCTTTCCTCCCTGTCCTGTCCCTCCTGTACATCCTATAGCCCTTGATATTCACCACCCAGTCGTGAAATATGGTTGGGTCCCAGCATATTTCTGTGAGCCCCACTATGTTGGGCTTGGTGTCAGCTAGCAAGAGGGCAAATTCCTCCTGCTTGTTCCCCATACTACGAGCGTTTGTGTAGAGGCATTTAAGGACTCCTGAAGATGTGTGCACTGGCCCCCTAATCTCAGTACTACCCAGGCCTCTGTTGCTTACTTGGGTATTTGTTCTGCTCATTGTCAGTCTAGGCTGGGCTGTTCTTGTGGTGTCTCTTGGTTTTTTGGTTCAAGGCTTCCTCCGTCCTTGTCTTCCCCATTCCCCAATGAGCCTAGTTTAAAGCCCATCAGAGGAGATCTGCCAACCTAGAAGAGAACACACGCTTACCTTTGGGGGAAAGGTGAAGCCCATCCCACCCGAGCATGTCTCTCATTGTGATGTGCATGTCGTTGTCTAGGAAGCCAAAGCCTGCCTCGAGACACCATTCCCGAAGCTGCCAGTTGGTCTCTCTGATGCAGGTCTCATGTCATCTTCTATGTCTGCTCACTGGTAGAACAGAGGAGAATACCACCTGTGCTCCTATCTCCCTCAGCACGTGCCCCCCACCCCCCAGAGTATGGTAGTCCATCATCAGGTGATCAGGGCTTCTTCTGGCCGCATCATTAGTACCCACATGGATTAGAACCATGGGGTAGTAGTCAGTGGGCTGGATCATGGCCTGGATCATCCCCGTCATGTCCCAAATCTTTGCTCCGGGGAGGCAGTACACCTCGCGTATTGAGGGGTCCTGGCGACAGATGGGGCCCTCCGTACCTCTCAGGATGGAGTCGTCTATGATGATCACTCAACTCCTCCGGGTCTGCTTGGCTCCTTCGGCCTGCTTGGAGCATGAAGAGAGTGGAGTTGCCTCCACACTGGAGGTTTCCTCCTCTCCTTCCTTCTTGTCAGAGCCTCATACTTGTTATTCATCTGGACTGGAGGAACTGGTACTGCTTTGCTGTGAGCAACCCTGGTTCTGGTTGTGACTGTCTGCCACTCAGCGGTGGAGGGCACCTTCCGGGGTGCTTCTTCCTTGTGTGCATGGTCCTGCAGGGAAAGGAAATAACCAGCAATTTCATCCTCCGCCTCCCTGATTCCCCTCAGCCTACTAACCTCCTCCTGGAGCTCCCTCACCTGTGCCTCCAGGGCCCTAAGATGGGCACCTGCAGGACAGGTGTGGGGGCCCCCAGTCCCTGCTCCCTGGCCCTGTTGGGCATCCCCCGCAGGCTGGGGGGGCAGGTGGACACCAGGCCCCCCGTGGGCTCTGTCTGGGTGGAGGCCTCAGACAAACCCCTGGCAGGCAGCGCCCCCCGGACAGAGGCCCTAGCAGCACTCTGCGTCCACACCATTGTATAAGTTGCTGTTTACTTAGAGTTTTGTGTGCTGCCTTCACCCTACCCTTACAGGAGTCTCCCTCCTGCCCCTTCCTGCCTGCCGTCCAGTGTGAACACTGGCGCTCTCTTACAGAGTGCGCCTGTTTGCGCGCTCTGTTTGCGTGGCATGGCTCGGGAGTGCGGATCCCTACCGGCTCAGCTAAAAGGGATCTGGGGGGGCTTCCCCTCTGGATCCAGCTCAGCTGTGCCGGGTCCCTCTGCCCCACTTACCTTCGGGAGATCAGCTGTTGCTGCCCCCACTGCTGGCTCCGCAGCTGTTGCATCCGCTTCCGGTCTGGTAAGGAGGCACACGTGTGTGCAGGACGCACGTGTCCCTAGATCCCTCCTCGCCTCTATGCTTCTGGCTCCTGAGTGCCAGAAGCTGCATCAAACCGTGGCTTTTACAGGCTGTGGTTTGAAATTCCCACCACTGCCCCAACAGCCAATCAGGCACTCCGGCTTTTTGGAAGTGCCTGCCAGCAGTCCCGCCCCCTACACTCCCCACTGGGGGGATCTGGTGCCTCCGGAGCCTGTTCCCCAAGGGTTAACCCTGGGGGTGCTCCCTAGCTTGGGGGGACAATCTCCCCTAGTCCTCTCCCTGTTTGTGCACACTGTTCATGCAGCACAGCTCCCTACTGGCTCAGCTAAAAGAGATCTGGGGGGTTTCCCCTCCGGATCTGGCTCAGCTGTGCTGGGTCCCTCTGCCTCACTTACCTTTGGGGGATCAGCTGTTGCTGCCCCTGCTGCTGGCTCCGCTGCTGCTGCGTCCGCCTCTGCCTCGGGTCTAGTAAGGGGGCACACGTGTGCACGGGATGCACATGTGTCTAGATCCGCTCTCGCCTCACTGCTCCTGGCTCCCGAGTGCTGGAAGCTGCATCAAACCGCAGCTTTTAAAGGCCGCAGTTTGAAATCCCCGCCACTGCCCCAACAGCCAATCAGGTGCTCTGGCTTCCCCTGCTGCCTTCTGGGAGTTGTAGTACAGTTCATTCCTCCAGTCCCCTGGAGGCTTCTGGGAGTTTCAGTTTAATTTACAACATGACAGTACATGACATTCAACATCACAGTACATTACAATACTTAAAAGTTGAAGCTAAAGATCCAGGAAAGAATATTAATTTCTGTTTCAGTAGATGCGTCTACACATGCTCTTGACTGCACAGTTGGTACTGCCCAGTTATTTAGTACCAATGCTTTACCAAATACTAAATGCCTACAGAGTTACCCGACAGTACTGCCCAGTCCCAGCAGTACACGGGTCATTTTCACCTTACTGTGCAGTAGTGGCAGCGTCATGGTTAGTGCCTGCCAATGCAACATCACAGTAGCAATGAGCTACATCACCATAGCTTGTCACTACAGCAACATAGTGTCTCATGTAGATATGCCCAATGAAGGTGAAACCATGGAAAAATGAAACAAAAGATGATGAGGCTAAATGGACTGCGAGAAAAGTCACTAATTAAATATTGGTAAATCATTATAATATCGTACCTTTGTCTCCCTTTTTTCCTTTTGGGCCATCTCTTCCATCTCTGCTTGGTAAACCACTGATCCCAGGAACAGCACAGTGAATGAGAGGGCATGTCTGCATTTTTTCCTCAGGACTGTTTATATTTTCTAAACTTGTTGCAATCATCAGTGACATTCCCAGCACCAGGGTTTCGAAAGATTGAAGGATGTTCATTGCTAATACCACAGTTCCGTAAAAACTCAACCAGAATTCATTGCATAAGCCTCTCTGCTTACACTGTTTCAGTGTGATGTTCTTGCAGTGTATCAAAGATATACCCCTCTCAGGTCAGGATTATTAGGGCCTGGATCTCATTTATAGTAGGGCCCTTTCACACCACTGTCAGGGAGAAACTGAGGGGAGATTTCTGAAAGCCCTTTAGACCTTGTTTATTGCTTGTGAGTTGAGAGTCAGAAAGATTTGGAAGTTCATTTCAAGCACCTCATGCTGAGCCTTATATGTATGTAATCTGAATCAGATAAAATTCTTAAGCCTATAGAAGGAGGCTGGCAATATTGCAGCAGCTGGACTTCTCAAGAGACTTTCAAATACACTATTACATCAGTTTACTCCAGAAATATAGTCTTTTCATTTCTGGTCTCTGATGGAAACTTGAGAGTCAGAGTCAAATGGATATGAAATGAAATGAAATGGGGAACAAAGGAATAAAAAATTATATGAGTGCTTTAGACAAAATGCTTGGTTCAGAATTCGTGGCCATTTTAAAGAAAAGTTCAGGGTGAGAAGGATGGACATTGTATGAAGGGGTTCATCCAACCTTAGACCCTTTTATTTATATGAACAAAAGAACCTCCATGGGACTTACAAGATAAAGGTTTGACTGATACTTAGAAGTATGTTGCATGAAATATTTCTCAGAGCTATTTTCCATTGGATCCCCTTGACAATTCAAAGTAGGTTTTTTGTTCCATTTTGTTTTAAATGTACCAGGGGCTCTGTCCTCTTCAATCACTGATAGGGCAAATACACACAAGCACGCACGTGGCTCTTGTCCCACCTCAAACCCCTTTGAGGCGGGGCAACAGGCACATGTGGGAATGAAAAAATGTTCCTTGTGCTGCAAGTTTCCAGTGCGGGGAGAAAATTAGACCTCTGGATATCCAGGGGCTGCCAGAGCGTCTCTATAGTTGGCCCCTCACCCTGGTGCTGAAACATGTGGTGGGCCAGGCTGCATGTTTCAGCACCAGGGCTCTGGTGCTGGTGAGGAAGGGGTTGGGTGGGTCTGAGGAGGGGAGGACCATGAGGAGGAACCCCCAACAGCTAGTTTCCAGTGCGGGGAGAAAATTAGACCTCTGGATATCCAGGGGCTGCCAGAGCGTCTCTATAGTTGGCCCCTCACCCTGGTGCTGAAACATGTGGTGGGCCAGGCTGCATGTTTCAGCACCAGGGCTCTGGTGCTGGTGAGGAAGGGGTTGGGTGGGTCTGAGGAGGGGAGGACCATGAGGAGGAACCCCCAACAGCTCCGCCCACTCCCCCAGCCCCCCAGCCCTTGCTGG